CAAAGGGCCCCCCTCCCTTCCACTGGGTGGTCTCCCTGGAGCCCAAGGAGCCTCTTCTAGCATGGCTGGAGGGCAAGGCCTCCCTGCTTGCTCACTCCCTGCCCTGCATCCTCACCCCCTCTGCAAGTAGTAGTAGTAGTAGTAGTAGTAGTAGTAGTAGTGGTAGTGGTGGTGGTGGTGGAGGAGGAGGAGGATTTGGGATTCCCAGCAGTGGGGGAGACTTGGGGCCTTTTTTTCCCTGGGGGACTCCTGCCACAACCCCCCCCCCCTCCTTGTTCTGCGTCCCCACAGGGAAATGGCCCTTCAAGCAGCGGCGGCCCAAGCTGGGCTTCTCCTGCGGCAGCCTGGCTGACCCCGAGAGGCACTGCATGTCCCTGCCCCTCCTGCAGAGCATCGCGGCCGCCGAGAGCGACACGGAGGAGTGACCTGGAAGGCAGCCCCCCCACCCCTCCCCCAGCAATAAATGGCCTTTTTTCGCAGGTAGCAATGCCCAAAGTCTGGCCTGGCTTCGGGGGGGGGGGGGGCTGTTGTCCAGACAGGCAGGGCCTTTTCTTCATGGGGGGACAGCAGGGCCCCTCCGGCCCCCAGAGGGCAAGGAAGCCCAGCCCTGTGAGGGGGCCCAGCATGGATCCTTGGCAACCTGGCCCTGGGGGAGGGGCTTCCATAGCACAGCTGCCCAAAACCTGGTTGGGGAACTTGAGGTGCCCCCCCCCCAGTGGGAAATGAAGAGCCCCCCCCCCAAAAAAAGCAAGAGGATCCCTGCCCCTCCCAGAGGTCAGCGGGTAGAGAGAGGGAGAAGGGCTGGAGAAAGGGCTGGCCATGGAGACCCCCTCACCCACCCCATCTGGATGGGCGGGAAACGGCCCCTTCCCAGACACACCACAGAAGCAGCTTCTTTTATATATATATATATTTATATATTGCAACAAACATTTTTTTCCAGAAAAAAAGCATTCATTCCCAATAAATTAAAAAGGTCCATTTCCTGGTAAGGAGTTTTAAAAGGGGAGGGGCCTCCCTGCGGGTGCCCCCCCAACCGGACAGGACAGGGAGTGGGGGGGTCACTCCGGGGGGGGCTCCAGCAGGAAGGGGGAGGTGACCGCGTGGGCCTGGGCGATGGCCGCCAGCTCCTTGAGGAACTCGCTGAAGATGACTGCGCAGTAGACGGCGTTCTTCACCCGCAGCGCTTCGCTTTGCTTCTCGGCAGAGCCGCGGAAGAGGGAGCCGCCCGAGAGCGCCTGCAGCACCTGCCCTTCGCGCACATGCTGCAGGGCCAGCTGGGCGGCCTGGCGGGCCCGCGTGGGGCTGTTGGTGTGGCGCATGATCAGCTCCCCGATGGTGGGCTTCCGGCTCTTCACTGGCGGAAGAGTGAGCAGGGGTCAAGATCGGCAGCCTTAGGGCCAGTGGACAAAGGCTGAGCCTCCCCAAGGCAACTGCCCCTGTCCTGGGGGAGCCCCTCCCACCCATCCCCAGGTGCCCTTTCTCCCCCTTGCACAGTCCCCACGGGCAGATCCCCGGCATTGCCCAGCGTTGCTCACCAAGGGCCTCGGGACGGCGTAAGGGGGGAAGGGGGTTGGTGGCATCTGGGGCGTCCGGCCTGGCCCGGGCAATCAGGTACTTCCTGGCCTTGAAGAGCAGTGACGGGAAGTCCTCCTGGCTGTCCGCGAAGCCCTCAATTTTGTTCTTCACGGAGCCCAGGACCTGCCAGTGGGGGAGAAGCAACCAGGCCCTCAGCCACCCTCCGCAGGGGAGGGTGGGGGTGCCCCTCCCCACTAACCGCAGCACTACCTGGAGGAGGGACTTGACGCTGGGCTGGAAGACCATGTTGGTGTTGAGGAGAAAGGAGCGCAGGAGGGGCTGCGGGTAGCAGGCGAGCTGTGCCAGCAGTCCCGTCAGCAGGAAGTTGACGTAGAGCGAGTTCTGCAGCATGTTCTCCAGTTTGGCCAGCAGGATAGCCAGGAAGGGGCCTGCAGACACGGAAGGCCGTCAGGCAGGTGGACCAACGCCAGGCTCTGGGCTGCTGCCCAGGAGCAGGAAAGGGACCTATCCGGCCTCTTGGCTGACCTATACTGGACCTGTGAGCCAGCCTGAGACGGGAAGGACTCCTCCGCTCCCCCCCCATGGGCCTGGAATCGCCGTCAACCGGCCCATTGGCAGCAACCCAGAAGACCCCCTCTTGCCCCCCGGCCAAAAGACCAGGCAGCAGCTTCCATCACAAGGGCCGTTTCAGAAACGGACTTCCCAAAGGTTTGCCAGATCCTCCCCTGGGATGCCAACGGACAGTCCGAGGTGGGAAGGAAGAAGCCCACCGGGTGTCCTGGGGAAAGAAACTCACCGGTGAATGGCTGGCTGGGAGGCTGCCCTGAGGCCCGGAGCGGGCTTATGATGATCTGGGACAAGGGGTCGGCAGGCGGGGCGGGGGCCGAGCCCTCGGGGCAGGAGGAAAAGCAGTGGTAAGCTTCCTCTTCCTCCCGGGAAAGCGGTTCAGGCTCAGGTGGGGGATCCACGCCAGGGCCTTCCTCGGCTCGGTCCCCGTTAGCCATCTCGTCCTGCAGCTGACACAGTTCCCGATGGAAGTCCTCCGCCGTCAGCGGACCCCCATTCTCCAGAGGGGCCTGGCTCAGCCCCTCATCCGCGAGCAAGTCCAGGCAGGAGGCGCCTTCGCAAAGGTTGCGCGATGGGACTGACCCATTCTCCAAGGGGCTCTCGGGGGGGCACCAGCGGCCCTTCTTGATGCCAGTGTCCACGTGGGCCCCGTTAAGCAGAAGGTGCTTGTCTTTGGTGTCCGCTGGTGGGGCAGTGCTAGGCAGCAGGCTGGCAGGGGCCCCTTCCAGGCTTGCCCCCCGCTTTTTAGTCCGGGGGGAGGCAGGTGCAGGGTCTGGCGGGGGCCCCCTGGGATGGACGGACGTGTTGGCTGCTGAGGAGGCACCCGGAGGCGGAGCTAAGCCGATGGCATTGGGCTCCTCCCCATCGTAGGGAGCTGACCAGACGTGGCAGGCACGGACGCAGAGGTCGATGTTGAGCCGCGCATCCCGCAGGTACTCCAGGTAATTCCCTTCCAGCTCCGAGACCTCCTCCCACCTGCCGGGACGGTGAGCAGGGCTGCCCGTGGGCGTCCCTGGAGAGCGGTGGGTGGGGCTGGGGGCCTCCGTGCTGGAGCTGGGCTGGCGGGTGAAGAAGGAGATGCGAGACGGCGTGGAGGGCCTGGGGATGGTCACCACGGAGGAAGAGTCCACGCTGGGGCTGCCTTGGCCTGGGGACACGGAGGAGGAGGAGGAGGGTCAGCCAAGGTCAGAAAGCCTCCACAGGAGGAGGGGCTCTGCGTGCGCAGGAAGAGGCGCCCCGGGAGGGAGGCCTTTCGGGTGGGCTCTCCCCACCCACCCCCAGCCTCACCCTTGGACCAGGCTGCCCGCTCCTCTTCCTGGTCGAGGCTGGGCAGGCTCTCTGGGCTGCAGCAGCGAGGGATGAGCGAGAGGAACTTGGCAGCAGCCTTGCCATACAGGTCCAGCTCCTTGACCGCTCTCTTCTGGCTCAGCATGACGTGGCTGCAGGGGATCAGGTACCTGCGGGTGGGGTGGGGGGGTCGGGGAGAGAAGCTGCTGACGGAAGAGCTGTGGCACCACCTGCAGGGTGCTTAGAGGCCCACCAGGGGGAGCTCCTCTTCCTCTCCATTCCCTTCCCCTGCTGCCCCACCCTCCTGGGCAAAGCACGCCCTTCATGGGGGGGGGATTCTCCCCTGCAAGGAGCCCCCAGTACCTCAGCACCAGCTGCAGCAGGACGTCCTCGCAGTGCAGGCCAATCAGCGTCCGGAAGAGGCTGAGGGAGACCATGCAGAGCTGGGGGGACAAGGGGAAAGGGCAGAATTAGAGGAAGCAGCCCCCCCACCCCAGTTCCTCCCCCCACCTGAATTAGGGAAAGGTCCCAAGCCCCCCTCCCCCCACTTCCTGCAACCCTCCTGGCAAGCTGAGCTGCTGCTCCTGGAAGGGTGTGTGTGTGCTGGGAGACTGACGTGCGGGGGAGCCTGTTTTCACCCTCCCTCGTGTGAAAACTGCCTGTGGCCCCCCCTGTGCCCCTGCCAGGCTGGCCGCCTCACCCGGGAGTTGCTGGCGATGCGTGCCACCAGCGTGTCCAGGATGGTGCTGCTGTCGTGGTGGTGGAGCAGCAGGAAGCGGAGGAAGGCCTTCAGCAGGGGCGTCTCGCTGATGCTGCGCAGGAAGAGGTCCAGGTAGGCCGTGCTGGCGATCATCTCCTCGATGGACGTCTGGCGGACAGAGGGAGCTCAGCAAAGGCCCCGCAGTTGGGGGGGCCCAACGCCCGTCTCCTCCCGGGAGCTGCCCCCCCTCCCCTCCCCACGATGGCCCATCTGTGGCAGAATCCCTGGAGGCCTCGTCACGCCCCGTAGACCAAGCAGTGGGTCCCCGGCCAAAGGCAGCCCCCCCCCCTCCTGCTGCCAGGAACCAAAGCACACGCCAGGCAGTTTCCCCAGGGACATCGCCCCCCCTTCCACCCTCACCTTGTGCAAAGCCGGGCCCATCACTGGCACCAGGAACCCGTTGTGGATGTAATCCACCAGCTGCTTCTGGACCAGCGGGTGAGCCACCTGCCAGGAAAAGGGGCAGGAGTCCGAAGGGCTGCCCAGCCAGGACCCCCGAGAGGAGGAGGAGGAGCAGCTCAGAGCTGCTGGGAAGACCCACAAAATGACTCTCCCACAACCTCCCCCCCCATACATCAGGGAGGGGGGCCCATAGAGAACGGCCCGAGGGTCTACCTGTGGTGGGAGGGGTCAAGGAAGGTGGACAGGGGCGCTGCGTAAAACGTGGGAGGGGCAGGATCCACAGAGACCAACCTCTGAGTGAGGGGGAGGCTAGCCCTGTTTGCACATGGAGAGCAAGAGAGACCCCACCCCCCTCTGGGCTTCTCCCACATTCCTCCAGATTCCGCAAGAGCTGAAGGATTCCTCTCAGCTCTCCAGGCGAGACCTCCTGGGCCAGGTCCGCTGGGGGGCGGAGCCAGCTCCTGAAGGCTCTTTTCTCCCTCCCCCCCACCCCACTGGACGGAGGCCTTACCTGGATGACCGCATTGCAAAACTCCAGGGAGTTCATGAAGAGGACCAGGGACGGGACCCCAATCCAGTCCTCGCGGCGCAGAAAGTGCCAATCATCCCCGCGGACTTCAAGTTTGCGGGGCAGTGAGGAGTAGAGGGCGCTCAGCCCCGTGGCCAGGACCTAGGTGGGGGTTGAAGAAGCTGTCATGATGCAGGTGGGGGGGAAGCGGAACATTCCCCCCCCCCCAGTGCAGACAGCTGCCCCATCGCTCTGTGAGGCAGCTTTGGCTTCCCTGAGGCCTGCCCTGCCATGAGGCCTTTCTCACCCTCGGCCCCCTGAGGAAGACGCCTGGACCTTCCGCTCCTAAACCCCCCCAGGCAGCAAAGAGAGTCTCTCCTCTTCCATCCAGGATGCTGATGGGAGCTACCCCCACCCCCACTGCTCAAGCGTGCCAGTGTCCTGGTGCCCGCCCAGGCAAACTGCCTCCTTTGCACTTGTCTGGGGAAGGGGGAGGGGGCAGACAGCCTTTCCCAGTGGGGGATGGGCAAACGGGCAGTCAAGCCCCCACCCCTCCAATGCCCGTGTGGGCTGACTGCTGGAGCTGGCTGGCCCCCCTTGCGGGAAGCACCTCCATAGTCTGAGCAGCATCCGACAGGGGGGCACAGTCAGGTCAGCGCAGAGCCAGCACACCAAGCCTGCTGACCGGCCCTGCCGCAGCCGAGGGTCAGCCGAAGGAGCCCACGGAGGAAGCGCAGTCCGAGACCAGGAGCAGCCTCTCTGCTATTTCTGGCATTTTCAGCCTCTTCCCCTCCCTCCACCGCCTGCAATTCTGGGTGCCCACATCGGCTTCTAAAACCGGCTCTCCACTCTCTAGCAACAGGGTAACAAATAGAACCAAAACCTCAGCTCAAAATAATGCAGAAGCCTGAAAAAATGACGGGATTAAGAGAACCGCTTGAGGACAGCTGTTCAAAAGAAGAATGAAAACAGAAGGCTGCGAGGCGGGCGTTGAGTTGGGAGCGAAAGTTGTAGGCTACTTTGCAAGAGCCAAGAGAGGCTCCGAAAGGCAGCTGGGTCCCAACCGAACCAGCAGGGCAACGGGCGCCGACGCCTCCCCTGCGCTGGCAGGGAAAAAATACCCGGAAGGTGATTTCCGCGGCCTTACCGGGCAGAAGTAGGAGTGTTCGGTGATGTAGCGGGCGACGGTCCGGCTGCCGGAGGACACGGCCATGAGCAGGAGTAGCGCATCCCGCGCCTGCTGGCCCACGACCCCCTCGTGGTGGATGAAGGGGATGAGGAGGGAGAAGAGCAGCAGGTGGGGGGGTCCCTGCTCGGAGGGGCTGTGGAAGAAGAGCTCCAGCAGCGGGGGGTCCCGGGCCACGGAGACGCAGAGCTGATTCAGCAGCAGCACCAGGTTGGTCTCCAGCAGGGGAGAGGCCGGCTCGGCGCACAGGGCCAGCAGGCGCAGCAGGGGGGCCACCACGGCCTTCTGGTGCAGCAGCGGCTGGTGGGCCTGGCTGATCAGCATCTCGAACAGCTTCAGCAGCTCCACCTTGCGCTCCTCGGGCACCTCCCGCTGCAGGTGCCAGCCCAGCAGGTGCTCCAGCACGTTCTCCGAGACTGCAAACTCCAGGATGGGCCCCATCGCCGGCTCGCCCCGCGGGCGCTCCTCCGCCAGCAGAGTCACCATCTGGTAGGTGTTGTTGCGCACGGCACTCAGGTCATCGGCGGCCCCCGGGGTCACGTGGGGCCCACGCTTCTCCAGGATCCTCAGCACCTGCCAGGAGAGGAAATGGGTCGGGCTGGGTCCCTCCCCTGCTGGGTCCCCTGAGTTGGGGTCTCTTGCACACCCGTCCGGTCTGCTCCGCACACACGCTGGCTGTGGTCCCCCGTGCTCCGTCGTCCCTTCGTGCTGCCCCAAGCCGCTCACCTGGGCCACTCACCTGAGTCACTCACCTGAGCCCAGTGGTTCTTGAAGACCATCAGGCAGGTTTCGGGGTCCGCCATCACCGGGCCCTGCAGGCCGCCCCCCCGGCTTGCCCTCGGCCCAGCTGCCGCTCGGGGGTTCAGCTTGCTCAGCCAGCTCATCTTCTCCATGGGGAGGGGCCTCCCAGATCGGAACCGCAGGGGGGGCTGGGGGCTGCAGGCAGGTCAAAGGTGGCCTCACATGAGGCAGAGCAGGTGAGGGCAAGCCGCCAGTCTCCCGGCTGGGGCATCCATGTCGCTACAGGAACGGTGCCCAGCTGCAGACACAAGAGACAGAGAGTGGGCTGTGAGGGAGCGGGGGGGGGGGAAGCAGACCCCCAAACAAGGAAGGGGGCAGACACAGCCGGCAGGCAGATGATTCGGGCACCTTTGCAGGTGGGCACCAGCTGCTCCTAACCCCGGGAGTGGAGGGAGGCCCCGCCAAGCCTTCGCTGACCTTTCATGAGAGTAGCAGAGACCCTCGAGCGTGGGGGGAGGGAGACGGCCCCAGCTTTCCTAGGCTAGGACTCCCCTCCCTGGGGAAGCCCAGTTTCTCAGGCAGAAGAGGCCTTTCCCAAGACGCTCAGCCCCCCCCCCCCCCCCCCGGTCGTTAAGGAGCATCCGGCATCCGAGCCCTGGAACAGCAACCGCAGCGGCCAAGTCCCCCGTGGGTAAGCCAAGAGGAGAGGCCGGGAACTCCCTTGCCAACTGCCAGCAGGGCACTCCTGGGGCTCCAGCCCCCCAAGCACAAAACCTGGGACGGCCGGGGGCCTCCTCGAGTGGCAAGGGAAGGGGGGAGGGCTGGTCCAAGAGGAGGAGGAGGCAAAGCCGCATGATGGGCAGCTGCCCTCTGCACAAGAAGGGGCCCTTCGATGCGTCTGCGCGTTCTGTTATCACAAGCTGAACGGAGGCTCAGAAACCACTTCCTGAACGTTGTTCTGCCAATGGGCAGTGCCGGGACTGACTGACAGTTAGTGCCCAGCTTTGAAATGGCCTCTCAGCACAGCTGGAAGGGCTCCTTCCCTCGCTCAGGGCACACCACAGCCTGGTGCTGACGAGGCAGAGGCCCTCCCTGCCCACAAAACCTCCCCAGAGAAGCAGGAAGGGGTTTGCTCCCAAGACCTGAAGTGGAGCCCCTGTACAGAGAGGTGGAGGCCCAGGGACTGTGCCCAGGAGCCAGGCGGCCTCCGGGAACAGATGGGCTTCCTGAACCGAGAGAACCACCTGACCTGCCAGCCAACAGCCCCCCACGGCTGCTCCGGCAGAGGCTCTTGGCTCCTTCAAAGGCAAGCATGGCCCGTCTGCAAAGACCAGCAGCCACCACCAGCAGAGGACCCGCGTGGGCTCAGCCCCATGGGCCCTCAGCTGCCGCAGCGGGGAAGCGAGCAGGCCGGCCGCGGCTCCAGTTCAGCTCTTCTCCCCACAAGGTTGGGGGCAGCCAGAGGCATGATGGGGAGGAGGCCTGGACAGACGGGCACCACCAGCTACCAGGGCAGCAAGAGGGGCTGGTTGCCTCTGCCACCACCAAAACCCAAGACCTGCTTCCCAGCAGCCTTCGGAGCGGTGCCACTGAGAGGGCGCTGTGAGTGGCATGGCCCACATCTGCCAACCTAGGCCGAGGGACAGCCAGGGCAGGGGCACCCTCAATGGGCCAAGGAGGATGGCAAACACGCAGCCTCCGGGGTCAGATCTGGGTCAGAACCCCGCGCTCTGCAGTCGTCTCTGTGCCAGTCTGCCAAGACCCCTCGGGGGAGGGAGAGAGGGAGGGGGAGCACTTGGGGGGCAAGCGAAAGCTGAGAAAGCGGAACTGCCTGCCCCACACAGCGTTTCAAGGCCAATCCGGGTGGAGAGGAATGCGGATGCCAGGCAGCTGAGAGTCGGGGGGGGGGGGGGGGGGAGAGTTTTGCTCTTCAT